CTATCCAGATGATGAGCCCATTAAAAAAACTTTCCTTATGTTTTTACTTGTAACAAGTAAAAACAAACGTCATCAGTTGAGTACCCTCGCTGTTAACGATATTTTCAGACTTTACCTTATTCTTATTTCTGGTTAAGACTTATTTGTTCAGCAACTAATGTTCTCACGTTGGATCAGGTTCGAGGCAGTGTAAAATGTTACTTATTTTATGCAATCATTCGAGCTTCTAATAAAACAACAAGGTTTTTTAAATTCATATTATCTAGTTAGTAAATTCTTAAAGACGCGGAAAAGATAAAGAAAATATTTTATATTAAAACTCCTTCTGGTTGTTCAGTAGTATTTCTACGACTTGTTTACTGGGGGGCAGGAGGGAGAAAATATTTCAAGGGGCAAAAGGGGGGGTGTATCAGGAAGTGAGCCAAGTGTTATTAAATACAAAAGAAATATTTTTTTCCTTTTAAGAAGTGTCTATTTACTCCTATTAATTATAAAAAAGTCGAAATTACCTCAGGCTCTCTTAGCACAGCTGCGCGGTGGTCTGATTCTATTTGAAACTACCAGCTTGTAGGTTTCATCTGACTAGAGATATTTGTTTCAGTAGTTAAAGTTACATAGTGTGATATCCCATCCGTCCAAAAATATTAACACTTTTATGTCAGTGAGAGTCACAATGTAGGGAGAATTTAAGTATCTTAAAAGACTAAATCGTTATATCTCAGATGGGGGGGGGGGGCTTCTGGGAGAGAGGAAGAGATCTCCAAGGGGTTCTGCCCCCATGCCAAAATAATTGTTCATATTAAACAATAACTTTATAAAAACAGTATTTGAAATGTTCGTGGAATACTGTTAATGTATCTTCATACTTACATTTAAGAAGATTATTTTTATATTGTTAGTTTAGTTTGTGGATTCACAACTAACCTACTTCTCCTAAGACCCAACTGATGAATCAGTGCATTCTAATCATTATGTACTTTTGTTTTATAACAATACACACCCCTAGTTAGACCAGTGTATTAGATTACCTACATTAGTTACTAAGTTAGTTTGTTATTTTTATCTTTTTAGGTAGCTTGTTTTGATCAGAAGTTATTAATAATAGTGAGTAAATCAGTTGCTTTTAGAGGTCCAGCCTACGAAAAATACATACCTCTGGACTTTAATATTGTAGACCATGTAAATGCCTTTAGAGAGATCCAGTTTTGTGGATAAGACAACTGACATTAGATATACACTCTATTAAAGATGGCGTAACTCAGGATGAGGAAGTAGAAGATAGAGAACAGTTCTATATGAAATATGATTATTGTAGATAAATCGATTTTCCTTAGAAACCCAGAATACTGAATGTCTTTAAACGTCCAGTATATGGAAGAAGACATGCCATTGATATCTAGTATTACAGATACAGTCAACGAGAGAAAAATCGAATCATCTTTAGAACCACACTAACCAGACATTTGTTGAACAGTTTAGTCTGTGGATTAAGTCTTCGTGAAAGGAAAAAGTTGACTGTATTTAATAATCCAATATTTTTTTATATTGATTTATATAATTAATCTACAAGATGAGCCAGTAAGTCCGAGCTAAATGGATATTTTAAAGTAGTCTCAGTTAATTTGCTTTCTGATGCCACACAAATGAAGTTTCAAATTTCGTGTGATCTCTAATCTAAAAATATGTACTAAAAGCTAAATTTGTTTTACCAAGATAGAAGTTGATCCCAAGTTTATAGTCCACAAGTTAAAGATAAAGCTTCTGAGTTATAAAATATTAGATGGTATAAGTGGCTCGATTACTATCTTGAATTACCCCCGCTCCTTCTCCAGTGGCTCAGCGGTAAGTCTGAAGGCTTAAAACGCTAGAAAACAGGCTTCGAAATCCGTGGTGGGCAGAACACAGGTAGTCCATTATGTACCTTCTTGCTTAACAACAAATAATCCAGTTCAACTTAATTAAAATACCTACTCCCAGCAGTATCTTACAATAAACTTTAAGTTCAAGTTACTTAGTATGAAAATTGGAATCTTATAAAACTAAACCTTATGTTTCACATCGGAGAGGGAGGGTGCTGCTTGAAGAGGCAGAACTCTTCAATGGGGTTTACCCATATGCCTTACCAGTTGCTCATATTAACAATAACTTTATAAAAACAATGTCTGTGGACCAATATTGAACATGGCTTTTCCAATCCGCAGAAACATCTAGCGAGAAAGAAAAAGACTGTAAAAGTTTCGATTTTCGTAAAATTTCCAATATGCGTTGTGTTAGAAATAGGAGAAAATTGTTATTTCCCCTTTCAGTTCATTTATAGGATGCGAGCCTAATATATTTCACCTCAAAATTTATGGAAGAAGCTAAATTAGAAAATACTATGGGCTTGTATACTCCTAACGGGCCTTACACTTTTTCACAAAGATTTTGCCGGACCATAGAGTGAAAAATTATTGGAAACAGTTGACCTAGCTCTCAGCTTAAGTTAGAAAGGTCTTGTCCACCACTAATGGTCTTTTTATATATATATATATATATATTTAGTGCCCTATCTAACAATGTTTATACATATATATTTAGTGCCCTATCTAACAATATTTTTATACGTATTTAGTGCCCTATCTAATAATATTTATGTATATATATATATTTGTTTAATGCCCTATCTAATAATATTTTTATATATATTTAGTGCTCTATCTAATAATATTTATTTCGAAACACAATTAAAAATCTAAAACTGTTAGCAATTTTTTCTAGACTTATATAAAATATTTTTTTCCATTCTGAATACAAATGACAGTGTTTTAATATGATAATCGTTTTGAACAACTATATTCGTGTGAAAATATACCATTCCCGAGACCTTGTTCTTGTTTGTTGACATAGTTCTATGACTCCATATCCCCCCCCCACCAAACAACCACACTATATCCCTACCGCCCCCACAGTGGCACAGCGGTATGTCTGCGGACTTACAACACTAGAATTTGGGTTTCGATACCCGTGGTGGGCAGAGCACAGATAGCCCATTGTGTAGTTTTGTGCTTAATTACAAACAAACAATATCCCTACCTCCCCACTCAATCATCCCTTGGTGCCTGCTGTGTGGTTTTCAGACCACCACCCTCCCGTCCAGTAGATGGTTTGGTAAAATTTGGTAAAATTAAGCCTAACTGAAATATTTTAGCTTTCACTGTCTGTTCTTTCGTCCTCTTGACATTTTTTTTGCCGGCTTTCTCTAAAACTGAATACGTTTATACGCAATGTTATTCTCTCTCCAGTTTCTTGTTTGACAAATATCTTTCCAAAAATGCTTTGAAAATGACATTATCGAGTAATGTCCAGCCTACATCACGGATCAAAATTAAAACAACTTAAGCCTAAATAAAACAGCGTAAGATAACTTTCAAGATATATTTACTTGACGGATGTACAAATATTGAACCTACCTGTTTTTCCCACCTCTTCTGCGCCCAATACTGCAAAGTTACACTGGCTGTCTTTTGACCATAAATTGGCCAATCCAAATTTTCGTATAGCCAGTCTTCCTCCTTTGGTTGTCATGATAATAAGAAAAGCCGTTCAACACTTTAACTTTCGGACATTTCTCAGTGTTATTCACGTTCCTTCAAATTCATATTAAGGGAATGTAAAGATAACTTCCATTCATTAATAATTATCCCAAATACATAACGGTTGCATACAAATTCTCATAACAAGGTAAGCAACAAGAGTGTTTTGTTGCCTCAAATAATAATAACATATATTTTTCAATTAGATTTTCAAAAGAAAAATATTTTTGTCCTTATTTCACTTCGTTAACTCCATCCGAATCTTCGCCAGGCGCTCTAACAAGCATGACACGCGAGCTTTCTAGCAGTCTACGTTTTCCGGTCGCTTTTATCGCAAGACGTAAGGTCACGTGATCGTTATATGTGCTTGCACAAACGTCAGACCACAGAATATGTAATTGAATGGTTTGTTTTCCAAAATCCAAAAAAAAAATAAAGAAAAAATACAGATATTGTTGTTTGTAATTGAGCACAAAGCTACACAGTGGACTATCTATGCTCTGCCCACTACGGGTATCGAAACCCGGATTCTAGCGTTGTAAGTCCGCAGACATACCGCTGTGCCACTGGGGGGGGGGCACTTTCAAAGTAAAAAGTTATAGCTTTGAGCTTACGAAGTTTACCTACTGTTATATTTTGAGCCAATTTTCGTGAGGCAGTTGTAGTGGTTTCCTCAATGAACGCTTCCTCTCTAAGTAGCTGTAGTAGTTATTTCAACAAATAAACAGTTTTTTTAGAAAAAGATACAATTAAATCTTCTTTCATTATTTTTCGTAAATTGAGTTTTAAAAAAGATCACATCCTTGGAGAAAGTTTTCATAGGATTTTTTACTGCTTGGAGCGTTACAAATAATAAAGATCTCTAAGATTTAGGGATGCACTGGTACCCGGCCAGATATTCGGCCACGGCAGGGTATTGGGTTACCCGGTAATACTCGGCTCCGGCCGTGTGTCGAAGTTAGGCATCTAAGCCCTAATCTTTGTGGCTACTAACGCGGTACTGAAGGTTACAGTCAATAATTGGTTTAGTTAAAAAAAAAAAACGTGTTTCGAGCATCAAAGACTGACTGCCTGCTGAAAGTCGGAGATTCGGAGAACAATAGGGGTTAAGAACAGGCATGGCTTGAGAAGTGGATTTCTGGGGAAGGTGGGGGTATTGAGAACAATAGGGGTTAGGGTTTGAGAAGTTGGGGCTAGGCATTGAAAGTTGAAAGTAAAACTTGAATGCTCTGTTGGTGATTATTCAGTTAAATGTAATAAACGTCAATTTTGTTTTGTTTCTAAATTTTGTGTATATATTTTGGAGGGGGAGGCGAGGGGGGAGTTTAGTGACCGGGTACCCGGACCCGGGGTTCGGCTAAATTTTACTACCTGTGCATCCCTGCTAAGATTTTAAGATTTATTACGAATTCTCGAGATTGGTATGCAATATTATTCAGTTATTGACAAGAAAGTACTTGAAAATATGTGTTGTGCGGCGTCGTGTATCTTTCCACAGTATTTTGGATCAATGTATATATATATATCAGATGTTCTAGAACTATGTTTATTATATGTATATATAAACTGGACTTTTAGAGGGAAATTACCTTTAATACTATGGTAGTAATTTATTTTCTTGGCAATGTTTCGAGCAAACGCTCTTTGTCAAGCCAGAAACAAGCCTGTCGGTTAATGTCAACTACACGAACGATAGAACCAGAAGAATTAAACAATATAGTAAAAACAATATGATAAAACTGGTGATTAAAAAATAGTATTAAAAATGATTAGAAATATATAAAACAACTTTACATAGCAAAGAAATAAATAATTTAAACATTTTGAGGTAATAAAATAAGGATATTTAAATATATATATAGAAAGCTGAACCATTCGTTAATACCCAAAGGATTTATACAACCCAATTCGAAAATGATTTCTTTTGCTAGTGTGATCCTTTGATTGGTGTTGGAGGGGGCATATCGTAGGGGGAAAGATAATGATCAGTTTGTTGAAGTAAATTAAATAATAGGTTGAACAATCGCCGAGTTATTTATTATTAAAAGAAGAATGACGTACAATATTTACAGCTTTGTTGAAGTGCTGAGATACAGGTTTATCTTGATCTTTAATCAAGATGCTACGTAAGTTTTCGTGTACATTCAGCGAGCATTCGGCTGGTTTTTCCTACGTAGACTTGGTCACAGTTGTTACAAATAATTCAATAAATTAAGCAACTAATCTAATCAAGGGTTCAGTGGGTGGGTTTAAGGTATCTCTTCTGTCAAGGTAGCGTTTTAGGGCCTTGAGTCTATCTTCATGTAGAATGGAGGTACACAACGACAATATGTCAAGGTTATGTTTTAGGGCCTAGGGTCCATCTTCATGTCATATAACGACGTTAGATTAACTGAATTAGTTTTATCGTTAAATGCCTTTTCTTTTGATAACAAATTCTATAACAAGTGAAGGGTGTAGCCATGGGAACCAAAATGGGCCCCTCCTACGCCAACCTCTTTCTTCGTTACACTGAAGATTGTATATTTAGTAATTACACAAGTACCCTCCCTTCCTTCCTTATATTGTAGATATATTGATTATGTTTTCGGTATAGCTACATCCACTAATAATGAACTCGATCTCTTGGTTCAGTTCGTTAAATCCTTTCATCCATCACTCCAATACACATCTTCCACTTCGCACCAAACCATTTCATTTCTTGACAAAAATATTTCCGTGACTGATGATGGCAATCTCGCGACGTTTGTACATTACCAACACGCATAGTTACTTACATTTTTATTCCAGCCATCCTCAAAACGTCAAGAAAAACATTCCCAAATCTCAACTCACCAGATTACGTAGACTCTGCAGTAACGACCAAGATCATAGTAGCAAATCTAACAACATGCTCCACTTTTTCTATTACCCTACTTCTCTTCTTCATCACACTAAAGATAGTCTAAATACTAGCTATAAACGTTCGCAGACAATTTAAAACTTCCAACGACACATTCCACATTCAACTTACCTATTCAACACACAAATAACATGTATATTGTTGGACAACTTTCAGATCATAACGTAGGACAATACCATCGGTCACTTGTTCCCTAATAAATCTCTTATTTCTCATAAACGAGACACTAACATTAAAGATTTAGTGGTCCGAACAACATACAACTTTCATCTACTACTCCAGTTGGTACGCACTGTTGTCAGAGGAGCAGATACAACACTTGCCCTAACATTGATCATAAAACATCTGCTAGAGGCCCTAAATCAACGTATTCTGTGAATAGCCATTTCACCAGTACATCTAAATGTTTAATTTATTGAAATATCAGTACAATCAGTATAAAACAATCTATAAATATTTGAACAAAGCTATTACACATCCGGCAGAAAGATATTGTCTCAAAGAATCCGGTAGTTGTGGATAACACCGTATAATTGAAGATTCTTTTGTGTTTTAGCGTAAAGCTAATTTCGGTATTACCACAACTATTCATTATTTATTATGTAATTTCGGTATTGCCAAAATTATTCATTATCCATCATTTAATTTCGGTATTGGCAAAATTATTCATTATCCATTATGTAATTTCGGTATTGCCAAAATTATTCATTATCCATTATGTAATTTCGTTATCCCACAGTTATCCATTATGTAGTTTCGGTATCCCACAGTTATCCATAATGTAATTTCAGATTTGCTACAACTATTCATTATCCATCATGTAATTTCGGTATTACCAAAATTATTCATTATACATCATGAAAAAAAACACAAAACAGGTTTTTGGGTTGGAGACTTTTTATAAGTCTCCGACGGAAGTTTAACACTGGTTCGGATTGAACTCAAAGCAGACTAGACGTGCACAGAACCATCCCGTTTAAGTTACGTGTTTAATGTCAATTAAAGTAACTAGTTTTGTCAGATTTCATACGTAAAACACGTTTTTAGTAATACATAACATTATGTTTTTTTGTTTAATTGTGGTCAAGAATAAACCTTCATAATGGGCTATCTGTGATCTGCCCACTGGGGGTATCGAATCATGATTCTTCGCTATATAATCCCTCAGACGTTCCACTGAGTAATCGGATGGCACATTATATTTTAGTTTGTTTGTTTGAAGTTAAGCACAAAGCTACACAGTGGGCTATCTGTGCTTTGCCCACCACAAGTATCAAAACCCGGTTTCTAAGCGTTTTAAGTCCGCAGACATACCGCTGTGACACTGGGGGCATTATATTTTAGATTGGTGTTAAAATTACTGATACACACATTTTTTTCCTACTTCGCTATAATAGAAAACAAAGATTTGCCAATACATGATACTAATAACTGCTCCCCGTGTGTTTTGTGGGTTATACAAAAACTCATACATTTTTAGACAAACTAAAAATTTAAAAATACTTACTAATTTTAAGAATGAATCTTAAGTCTTGAAACAGATGTTTTATACACGAAATTGCAACTACACTTAGCGCTCCAATATTTAGCAAAAGCTGTAAAAACTGAGGAAAATAGGAAAAAGTATCCCTAGCCACACGAATCAAATTTTTACAGAATCCCTTCTATAAATTTCTAAAGAATTAAACACAGAGTTGAGAGTATTTTGTTTGGAAATTTTGTAAGAGTATGATTAAAAATCAAAGCAAACTGTTTCCCATACCTGCGTATGTATTACATATATGGGTCGGTCTCTGTATGAAGAGTCAGTATTCATTTCTTATCATTTACATTGAGTGGTCACAAGTAAATATACACCTAATTTTGCATCATTTAACTAATTTATGCTAACTAATTTGTTTTCACAGAGCACTATATAAATGAAAATGGTCCGTACACTAATTATCTTGTGCTACAACATGCCTAGAACTCAAGATTCTCTCGAATTGTCAGATTTTGTTAGAGGAAAGCAGATGGTGGAATAAGTCAGCGGCAAATTTCGCAGAATTTGGGATTCCCGCTTTCGACAGTCAACAGAATCATCGTGCAGTTCAGGAAGCACGGCAAGGAAACAACTGAGCAGCGTCCGAGTGGTCCTGAT